GCGAGTACGCTAAAACGACGGCATCTTAATATATTGAGAAAGGATTCGTATATGTGGACCGTAACAGCAACAATATGAAATCGTGATTATACTTCTCTCTCTCTCTCTCTCTCTCTCTCTCTCTCTCTCTCTCTCTCTCTCTCTCTCTCTCTCTCTCTCTCTATCTCTCTCTTCCTCTCCTCCTCTTTCTCTTTCGGTGTGTATGTATATATGTGTGTGCATGCGAGTACGTGTTAGTAAAAACTTTTAATTACATTAAGGGGGAACCTGGTTCAGGAGGCTAAAAAAAGGAGATTTTTTTTATTGACAATAATGCAGTTGAGGTTTCTGAAACTTTTATAATATTTAACTGCTTATTTGAAGATGTAAAAAAAATTTTTATATTGTAAAATAATTGCAAAATGGCGCCGTGATGTATTTCTAATCAAAGCGCCTCGCCAACTGAGTTGCCAATCTGCGGGAAAAATGTAGCCCGCGATTTTGATCTGAAATAAAAAAACCAAAAAGATTATTAATTTTCATGTATTTTTATTCTATGTAAATCAGGAACATGGTTAAAAAACCGTAAAATACAAAATTTTTTAGCACTTGAACAAAAAAATGACATTTTTGAGAAAAAATATCCTCCATTTTTATGCAATAACAATTATTTAAATTAATGTTTTTACCAATGTTTGAGGTTCATATAGAATGGTTGTTCATTCTCTAGCTAACGTATTTTGAATCAAGTCGATTGATCAATTGGTTTTTTTCTACCTTTCCCGCAAATTTTAAGAAAGTACGAAAATTATATTTCGAGAAAAACGCGTTTAAAGTTTGCGGTACAAAAAAATATCATTTATTGGTGTTCTTACCGCAATCTTATGCTAATCAGCTATACCAGGGCTATACTGCAAGCCTTTAGCTTTTTCATAAAACTCGTTTCACTGCATTTGCTCCAGTCTACGAGCTGTGCGAGTCTCCTTAGTCGTGCTACTTCGACGCCGCTCCCCCCTCGTAACTCGCTGCGCATCGTATTTATCAACAAACATTTTGCACTGCTGGACGATATTGATTTCTAATAACTGCATCGTTAATAAAATGGCAGTATAGCCTTAATTAAAAATGCCAGTAGCCAAATATGCAACGATTTGGACAATTTTAAAGCCCGAATTGAGGTGTTTGGGAGCGATATGCCACACAGTCGAATTGAAGGATTCGTTGGAATTTTATGTATGCCCGCCTAAACACTTAGTCAAAAGATCTTCATTAGGAAGATCTTCATAAATCGAAATAAAGTGTTTCTCAATATCAGGCTTTAATGCTACGCATTGATGCTTTTGTCTAAATTATCACTTTCATTCTTGGAATGCTGGTTGCCATGAAATCTTCTTTTCGGCGGTTCCGAAATGCGCTGCGAAGTACCTTTTCAGCCTTTTGGATACATATTTAAAACTGTCAAACGATCTTTGCTAAATAGAAGCTCTTTACTCGTCGAGAATCAGAGCAAGACTGACCGTTGAAACTATAAACGCCTCAAAACCAAAACACATACACTTACTGTTCCTACGTCTGTAAGTAAATCCACACACCTTTATATACATGTTGGGACACGAAATTACAATAGTATAAGTCGTGCGTTACTCAGATAAACATCTGCCGAATATTTAATCCGGAGAAAAGGACCGAGGGACAAAGCGCGCGGCCCGCTCCGGCCGAGCGCTTGTATATCTGTGCGACGCTGGCTCATCATGTGTTCTATAACTTTTAAAATATTTCGAATTGAGCTCTGAAACTTTGGGAATATATTCTTGAATAGTTTAATTATCGATTAAGCAAAAAAAATTCGAAAATCTTGACCTTATAAACCAAGTTCCCCTCTTAAGAATTAATTTTTCTTGGAAAGCCAGAGAGAACCTCTTTTTTTTCAAAAAGATATCGTATATATTTTTTTAAAAGATATCAATTTAAAAATATGCATATAATAGTCGAAATAATTTAAATTATATTTTATTTGTACTAACTTGTATAGAAAAATAAGGAGAGCAGAGAAAGAAAAATTATAATAGAAAAAATATAGGACATTAATCTTTCACAATGTGCTTTTGTCCGTCTTTTATTATTACGAATAAGTGACAACGTAATCATTGGAATTAAAATTCTGATCTTACCGCCGATCTCAGTATTCTATTTCATGCTAATTAAATATTCTGAAGCTTATATTAACTTATTCTGATTGTATTTAATTTACAGTTTTATTGCGAGATGCTTTTAAAAACTATTAACGAATTCTATTGTACTACTACCAAATTTTGTATTTTTTGCTATTTAAAGGCGCTGAGTATAAAATCAATTTCTTTATATAAATGAAATTTTTATTAATTCTTTAAAGTCTATAGATATTAAATAATTCAGGTCAAAGAGAAAATCAATATTTGGAGTATATATATGCACATATACACGAGCATATACACGTACACACGCATGCACATGCATATTATACAGGATATTCCAAAAGTAACGGACCTTCCTAATAACTCTTCAGTATTGAAATTTCAAGGAAAATAATCTAAATAAAAGTTGTAGGGATTTAAGTGAGCTATATTATGATGACCTTGACTTTGACCTTGACCTCTATTTTCAAGATCATTTGAAGATCAACTTGCGTTTTTTAAATAGGAACTCTTATTTTTTATTACACTGTTTTTTTCCACTAGTTAGTTTGAACAACTTTTGTCTAAAATATTTTTTTATTTATCTAATTTTTTTTAGATATTTGAGGAAAACTTGATAACTTTTTTAATATTTAACTTACGATATCTCGCTAACTATTTGTCGGAAGAAAAAGTGGTACTAGATTTTCTTGCTTTATTTAGTCTCAAGAATATATTGTTACAATAGCGCCCTGACTTTTATTAACTTACTGACTTGGAAATTTCAAAATCATCAAATTAACAAAAATCAGGGCGCTGTTGTAGTAATATATTCTTGAGACTAAATAAAGCAAGAAAGTCTAGTACCACTTTTTCTTCCGACAAATAGTTAGCGAGATATCGTAAGTTAAATATTGAAAAAGTTATCAAGTTTTCCTCAAGTATTTCAAAAAATATTAGACAAATAAAAAAATGTTTTAGACAAAAGTTGTTCAAATTAACTAGTAGAAAAAAAACAGTGTAATAAAAAATAAGCATTCCCATTTAAAAAACGCAAGTGACTTTCAAATGACCTTGAAAATAGAGGTCAAAGTCAAAGTCAAGGTCATCATAATGTAGCTCACTTAAATCCCTACAACTTTTGTTGAGATCATTTTCCTTGAAACTTCAATACTGAAGAGTTATTAGAATGGTCCGTTACTTTTGGGACACTCTGTATATCGGTTTCATATTTCTATTTGTGACTATAATTAATTTGCGAGAGGATTGAATAAATCAAAATTTATATATAACCGTATTTATGACTTTCAATTAGATTGCCAGCGGGTATTGTTCTTCGTTTAATGAAGATATGAATTTGCAGTTTGTGAAAAATATAATTAGAGAAAGTTTCTGATTCTGACCGATATGTCGATCCTAATTTCTTACAGTCGATATTACACGTAAAGTATTTTTATTAAATGTACCATCAACAATATGCATAATAGTAGTGCATTTTGTCACTCCTTCTTTAATGTTTATTTGCATAAATCATATAATGATTTTTATTATGGAACCATCATTCTATATTGTATAAAAAGGAAAAATAGATTTATCGAAAATGATTTATATAAAATAAGATCTATAAAAATTACATAAATTTATTTAGAAAATTGGTTTTAAATTTATATTGAATTTAAAAATTATTTATTTTAAATTTATATTGAATTAAAAAATATTAAATTTAGAAATAATAAATAAATTAATAAATGTAGATAGAAAAAAATCGATTACATATATACACTTTTTTACATAAACAAAATTATAATCAACCATTTCTTCTAGATCAGATGCAAAATCAACCAGATCGTTTGTCAAAGTCACTGTATGGCAAATGTAGAACACTCTTTCTGTGAAATCGTATTACTGGCGTAGTTACGTTTCCTTGTTATTCGCATTTTGGAAAGCAGCACGATTGGGTGTGGCTTGTAGCAAGTATATTAACATATCTTATTTGTCTTATTTGGAATGTTAATTAAAATAACTGATTCCGTTTAATTAATATCTAAGAACAATATTATATATTTTTTTCTTTTCTCTTGTCACTTTTATTTCTATTAGACTATATATTATATATATATATATATATATATATATATATATATATAAAGTAATCCACTTTGAAACTTCTTATTCTTTATCTTATTTTTTTCATGTATGAAATATTTAAACTACCTTAATAATGATCTCCAATATCTTGTCATTTATTTTACGTCGATATTTGACCATTATGACAAATAAAGCCAAATAATAGGGAATGAAAAATTTATGATCTGGATTATAGAGTAGCAACGGCAGATATTAAATAGCCGCGTCAATTTTCAGTCGATAAGCTTTAACTAATTTTATGGTTGTTATAATAGATATTATTATCTAACTTATCACTCAGATTGTATCATGTTAATCCGTTTGATAATTTTATTTCATTTCGATAAAACAAAAATGATACGCGAGATACATATGATAGGCTGTATTCTCAGCTCATCACTGGATCCAGTGAGTGAACCAGGATGAGACCTGAGATCGAATTTCGAGGGCGATGATAATAATTGCGGTGGATACACCCATCGAGCCATGCTGTCGGACATAGTTGCCGATGAAGAAAGTGTCGATTTCTCCCTAAACAAAAATCTAACGGCTCACCTGCAGCGTATTCAGCGTAGAAGATCACGGGCTCCCGGTCTATTCGCCCGTCCGTTTTCTATTTCCATTCGCGCCATGAACAGCACGGACTCGCTCTCGTTTACGTACAATTTCCACCGGTGGGAGAATTGCAGCGCGCAACAGTCTATACTCTTTTTATCTTGTATAAAAGAGAAGAGGCGTAGCGCGGGTAGCCGCAATACATCTTGGAACGTCTGCGGTGACGAACATACGCCAAATCCGAACACGTCAGATCAAACTTAAACTCCTTTGTCAATCGGTCAACAGGTGGTGAACGAAACTTGGTCTTTTCGTTACAACAACAGCAGTAACGCGACAAGGCAATTAGGACGCGGATACTATCAATCGGATCTAGCGGTGCGAGCAATTCAAGGGCCAACAGCATGCGGTGCTCAGTAAGTCTGAGCATTTGAACTTTGCTATCCGATAACAAATTATAACGGTTTACAACTTACAGTTTACTTACGGTATTTTATGAAATCTACTAGCTTCTTTCGTGACGAAATTAATTTTTAAAAATTTTTGTTTTTCTTCTTTTTTTCTTGCAATCGTTACTTTCAGAGCATTAAAGTGTAAACGTTAAAGAACGAATGAACAGCTTATAAAAGGAGAAAGATGTGTTACAATAGTTATGAAAGGGCTAATTTTATCTGCAAGTTGACAACTTTTAGAATTTTTTTATTTATTATAATTCCGTAATATTATAATTGTTTATTTATTATAATTTATATATATTATGATAACAATATTAATCACCAAATATAAAAAATATATTAGCACGTTCATTGTCATGATAATCACTGGTAACCAGTCGCGAATTTTTTATTTACGTCTTGTCATTCATTCCATGCAGAAAAAAATTACAGAAGTTAGAATGAAGTTAAGTTAGTTAAAATTTGTCTTTAAAATGGGGATAACTAGTATCATTGTTACTGAAACTTAATTTATTGATTAACTACTTGAACTTATAAAGAAAAAATATTAGCTAAGTCACGCATAATAGTATTAAAATTATATTCATATTTCTTATTAGAAATTTATCTTCATTTTTTGACAGAAATTGTTCTTAAGAAGGTGTTATTGCATGCTAATTTTATTTTAAAATTAGATTTTCTCTGATTTCACACACACAATGTTACATAGTTCTTGAGATGCACTGGTGGAATTCGGGAAATTCAAACCTTTGAACTATGAGCTAAATATTTTACTTATTATAATATTTATCTTGAATATTCGGCGTAGTTACATAAATTTCCAATAATATAATTTAATATAATAGAAAAAGAGTGAATAATTTAGATAAAAATTATATTTTCTTATTATTTTATAACTAATAAAAATTCTGTATAGGTCCAAATAGTTTAATTTTTACTCGAAGGAATAATAAAGCATCTTGCTTTTTATGCAAAATGTACAGCAAAATGTACTTTTATGCAAAATAACAGTTAATGATATAATAGTCATGTGCGGGATGAGGTAGGACAGTCTATAAGGTTAATACTTCATAGAGCCAAATACTCGAAATTTAGGCACATAAGATTTCAGCTAATAAATTTATATCTCATAGTAAATGTATTTTATCTATGACAGCCAAATGTTAATGACAGTAAATTTAATAACAAAAGTTAAAACAGAGAACCATATAATTTTCAGTTAAGTTCAAAGATTCATCTGAATTCATATTGAGATTTAACTGATATTACTAAGTCATTGCTTTGCATGTAGTGACTGTAATATAATGAATATTACAGATATCTATAACACAATTATTTGTATTTACAAGATTATAACTATATTTAATAATAATGAAAAAGCACAAGCAAAATACAATAAATCGATTAATATTTTCATTTATTAAAATTTTCAAAATAATCACATGTGTACATTATGAATCTTGTTGAAATAATTGGTGTGTAGATGAAAAGTAAGCTGAAATACGCTTTGCAGTTAATATATTAATGGATGGATATATATTAACTGTATGATTAGTTCAATAATGAAACTAAAAAAGAAGATAATTTGTTTTAATGTATTTAAAAGGTAAAAGAAATCATGGGCAATAATTCCGAGTTATTGTGCATATGTGACATTGTTTCGAAAAATGACAAGCTCCTCAAACTTCCTCTCAAAACTGACAAATATGATATGAAACAATTCACATCGTATTTGTAGTGCATTAACTTTCATCTTATGTGAAAGCCACATTTATACTTATCAATAAAATTGTAGAAGAAGAGATGCGACCGATAACTACATGAATTGTTGATCTCACAGGATTTCGATAATTATATCGGCCTACCATAAATTGAACACTAATAACAACTGTAATATAGTGGAAGTACGTGTTTCGCAAATAATCACAAACATGATTGTATAGGTGGTTGAATGTTCATAATTTGACATGAAAATCTTTTGTCAATCACTTGATATTAAACGATAGTTCGTTTATTGTATGGTGCTTGTTATTGTTTAAATGAGTATTAATCGTTAATTAATATTTACAGGCCTTCTGCGTTCTACTGCTAGTAATTAGTGAACCTCTTCTTGTTCATGCGTGAGTACTCAACCGGATCTAATTAAAGCTAAGTGTTTATGTTAGTTTCACATCAGTACGATCGAAAGTTGACGGCTACTTAAATAGATGCGTCTTCATTTCATTTTCACTTTGTTTATAAAGGAAAGTAAGAATGCATATCTGTCCAATGAAAAGATTTTGTTCAACTTTTCTCTATTGATTAAAGAACTCATTTTCACAGATGGTCAAATTATTATTTTGATAAAAAAGAAAAGAATGACGTATATCATGTATTATTAAGTTATTATGCTGTAAATTCTAAATATTTTTGTAGAATTTATTATTGTAGATATTTTTGTAGAATTTAAAAATAACTTTCCTTTTGTCACATATCCATTACACGAGAGAAGACTATTATTCCCTTAAGAACTTTGAAGTGGAACATGATTGCCGCGGAATCTGGTTCGTGCGGTTTTTGTGGAACATAAAACGTGTGAAAGTAGACTCTTTCTTCATAACACCATTTTATAGTTATATTGGTCGCGAAAAACTTTCTTTGGTCACGGTTATAGAATCGGTTATAGCGATATTTTATAGACTATCTCCGAATTGAAAAATTTCTTCCACTAAATTCAATTCCTTTGGTAGAAAGTGAAAATTACATTTTGCTTTGAATATTTCAGTGTTCGTATAAAGCTCCTATTCACATTTAAATTTAATGTAAACGCATCAGTGGCGTTTTTCTTGTGATGAATTTGTTTTGTTTCGAGGATCACGTGACTGCATTCTACATATGTACATATGTACATATGTATATATGTAATTATGTCCTGAGTAATTAAAAACTCACATATTATTGTTTTGAACATATTTAAATAGATTTATTAAATAGATAAGAAACATGCATGATAAATAAAGATAAAAAATGTGGCATTTAGAAATCTAAATATTCCTTTCTCGATTTTCAGAAAAGTAGTAGTGCTCGTATCTCGACATGTAAGACGAAGTCCTGCGGTGCCATGGAGGCCTCCTTCAACACATTATAAAAAATCATCTTACAGCGGCAATGATTTTCATCGTCACGCGTACTACAATTATGGTAATCGTTATTACAACAGGAAACCATATCGACCGTTGCCATATCCGCAGGGAGGCGATGATTTTGACCAAAGTCACAATACTGCAAATCACGTACACATACCGCATGGTAAAGATATTAGTCACGGCATCTCGTTTGGCAAAGGGTACATTCCGTATGAGAATATCAAGAGTAGTGGCTTACCGTTCGTGCATGAGAGGTACAGTTTCATTTCGTAACTACAAAGACCTGCCTTATATATAATGTGTGTATATATACATATATATATGTTATATATGTGAGTATATATGTGTGTGTGTATATGTATGTATATATATATATGTGTATATACAGGATGTATGAAAAGTACCGATGAAATATCACAAAAACTAAGCATTTTAGAAAAAAATGTTTTAAATAAAAATTGTAGGGTTTAAAAAGATATATTTACTGATATTATGATTTTGACCTTAAGTGACGTCGCCAAGGCCAGGACAAGGTCACTTTGAATTTTTTTAATGGGACTCTATTTTTATTGCATATTCTTGTAGCCCTTTTTAAGATCTTTTTAAAGCACTATAATTTTTTCCACTTTGAGTAAGCTGTTTCGAAGTTATCGAGCTTTTTATGATAAGATATCCAGCTAGCGGCTGGAGCAATTTCGTGACTTATATATATATATATATATATTTCAGACACATGTAATATTAAAAAAGGTAATACTAATGTACTAAATTTATAACAGCACTAAAATTCACCTTCGAATCATTTCAAATTAATTGCAATGAATTTGACTTGAAGTAGAACACATTACTTGTACATAATACGCGTTGTTTCATACAGAAAACATAAATGATTTTTCTTACTGATTTTTCTTTCTTTAATTATCAATTGAATTATTAATTTTGTTATCTAATTAATACAAATTTCTGTTTATTGGATAAATCTTTTTGTTTCCTAGCTTATTCGTTAGACTTTACTTTTTCTCTTAGAGATTAACATTATTCTCCAATGCTTTTGTAAGGATTTCTTCAATTTTTATTTTACTTATTTCTGTACATTTTTTTTCATTTAGTTCATTTTAATGTTCATTTTACTGATAGTTATTCATTCTTGATAGTTATTCATTTGTTTCAAAATTTCCATCACGACAATTTTCATCAATTAATGTGCAATTAATATGCAAATAAAATGCAACACCTTACCGAACGCGATAGAATATCTGTCTTGATGATGAGGGGCTGGAGTGATAGATTAAGATCGTATCAAGATGTAAAGGATCTTTTCAATGTAATTTTTCGAGATGAGAATACTCCTATTTCGAAATCAACTGTTGAAAGAACTGCAAGGTGGTTTGAAGAAACAGGAAGCGTTAAAAATCGTCTTAAAACAGGAAGGCCTGCCGCAGCAGGCATCGGTTAACGCATTATCAAACAATGAATGATGAACAATTTGAGCATTTGATACATTCATCGCGTTTTCAATTGCTGATTTCCCTTTGTGATCATCTTGCCTTAGTTGGTTGGATACATTTTTGATCTTGCCTTGGCTGGCTGAATATTTCTTTGATCTTGCCTTGACTGGTTGGATACTTCTTTGATCTTGTCTTGGTTGGCTGCACATCTTATCATAAAAAGCTCAATAACTTCGAAACGGCTTATTCAAAGTAGAAAAAATTATAGTAAAAAGGTTTGAAGAAGACCTACAAGAATATGCAATAGAAAACAGAGATTACTATTAAAAAAATTTAAGGTGACTATGTCCTAATTTTGGCGATGCCACCCAAGGTCAAACTCGTAATGTCAGTAAATAGATATTTTGCAACCCTACAATTTTTATTCGAAACCTTTTTTTCTAAAATGTTTAGTTTTTGTAATTTTTCACCGTCCCGATACTTTTTATACACCCTATATATGCATATGTATACATATATATCATACACACATATATACATATACAGAGTGCACGATTTATCTGAAGACATTGAAATATCTCGAGAACTATGCATTGGATAAAAAAAGTGGTTAATGAAAGTTGTTAGTCTCGAAGGGGGACATCCAATGATACCAAACTCGACCTCCCACCCCACCTCCTGGGGGTGGGGGTTGGGGGCAACTTTGAAATCTTAAATGGAAACCCCCATTTTTTATTGCAGATACGGATTCTACGCCACAGAATACGTAAATTTTGTCCGAAACTTTTTTTTTTATTCGTGATAGATGGCGCTGTAATCGCAAAAAATTATATTTTCCGCAATTCTCCAGAAATGATCATTGGATTGAGAAATAAAAAATACCTGTTCAATTTTTTAAAGAACATAATAAAAGTTATTCCCCCCCCATCCTCTCGGGGTAGGGTGGGTGGTAACGTTCAAATCTCAATTGGGAACCCGAATCGAAGAGGGAACTGCTCGACGCGCCACTGTGGGTGTATGGCGAACTACGGCTTATTATAAAAGGCAGAGATGGATTGGCAGAGGTGGCCCGATTAATTGGCCTGCTAGGTCGCCTGATTTAACATCGCCGGATTTCTTTCTGTGGGGTTACCTAAAAGATAAAGTTTATCAACAAGTGCCAACAACTCGTGAAAATATGGTAGAACGCATAAGAAACGTTTGCGCTGAAACTCCCGCAGATATGCTTCTATCCTGTGTACAGTCATTTGAAAAAAAGATCAATAAGTGTATTGAAGTTGAAGGTAAAAATTTCGAACACTTACTCTAATTAATTGAACAGTGAGAGGCAAGGGGACTCACATTAAAAAAACACCCCGATCTGTGAGAGGCAAGGGGACTCACATTAAAAAAGCACCCGAAGGGAACATAAAACTACTACGTCCTCATCGTTGTTCCTATGTAACGCTAAAAGTAGTTTCTCGGAAAAATTCAACGCTATCTATCACGAGTGAAAAAAATTATTTCAATAAAAATTTCACGTACAATCTAATTCTGCAATGAAAAATGTGGGTCCCCATTTGAGATTTGAACGTTATCACCCACCCTACCCCGAGAGGATGGGGGGGAATAACTTTTATTATGTTCTTTAAAAATATTGAACAGGTATTTTTTATTTCTCAATCCAATGATCATTTCTAGAGAATTGCGGAAAATATAATTTTTTGCGATTACAGTGCCATCTATCACGAATAAAAAAAAAAGTTTCGGACAAAATTTACGTATTTTGTGGCGTAGAATCCGTATCTGCAATAAAAAATGGGGGTTTCCATTTAAAATTTCAAAGTTGCCCCCAACCTCCACTCCCAGGGGGTGGGGTGGGAGGTCGAGTTTGGTATCATTGAATGTCCCCCTTCAAGACTAACAACTTTCATTAACCACTTTTTTTATCCAATGCATAGTTCTCGAGATATCTCAATGTCTTCAGATAAATCGTGCACCCTGTGTACACCAAATTTTCAAAAAAGAACGGACCTCCCCCCTATCTCAGAATCTACGCATTATAGGGAAAAATGTTCCGAACAAAAGTTTTAGGGTTCATAAAGTTCTATTTTTTTGTTACCTCAAATTTGACCTTAACGTCGACCTTGAAGGTCATTTGAAGGTCAACTTGTGTTTTTTAAATAGGAATCTCTATCTTTTATTACACCGTTCTTTTCTACCAATTAATTTGAACACCTTTTGTCTAAAACAGTTTTTTATTTGCCTAATATTTTTTGAATTATTTGAGGAAAACTTGATAACTTTTTCAATATTTAACTTACGATATCTTGCTAACTATTTGTCGGAAGAAAAAATGGTACTAGAATTTCTGTTTTATTTAGTCTCAAAAATATATTGTTACAATAGCGCCCTGACTTTTGTTAACTTACTGACTTTTGGAAATTTCAAAATTATCAAATTAACAATAATCGGGGCGCTGTTGTAGCAATATATTCTTGAGACTAAATAAAGCAAGAAAGTTTAGTACCACTTTTTCCTCCGACAAATAGTGAGATATCGTAAGTTAAATATTGAAAAAATTATCAAGTTTTCTTCAAATATCTCAAAAAATATTAAGCAAATAAAAAAATGTTTTAGACAAAAGTTGTCCAAATTAACTAGTGGAAAAAACAGTGTAATAAAAAATAAAGGTTCCCATTTAGAAAAACACAAGTTGACCTTCAAATAACCCTAAAAATAGAGATCAAGGTCAAAGTCAAGGTCATTATAATGTAGCTCACTTAAATCCCTACAACTTTTATTTAGATCATTTTCCTTGAAATTTCAATTCTGAAAAGTTATTTGAGGTGGAATATTAAAATTGGACATCCTGTATACACTGCTCAAAAGAATTATGGCATAGATAATTTGTTGCCGAAAATTGGTCAATTTTGACTGGCGATTATTTTGCGGAAAATTATTGTAGACTAATAATTTTCCATTCAAAGTGAAGCTTGAAGTCTCTACTTTAAGAATGTATCTCCATTTTTTCCATGCGATGCATCTCCACCCCTGTAACCCCTGATATCTGAGGGCATGTTTGGTATACTGAATATATATACACTGCTATATTTAGACAACCTAATATATATATATATATATATATATATATTAGGTTGTCTAAAAAGTATTGAGCCTTTGGATGTCAAAATTGAGAATACGTTTATTGTTATTTGAAAATAACATTATGAAACCACATATGCACCATTTTATTCGATGACCTTCTACCATTTTTCCGGCAATATCATAATCCCGTCGCTATAGAACTTCTGTGATTTCTGGTTAAAAATTGTGGCACGTGGTTTTCACAGGCCTCTTTTGAAACTAACTTAACACCATTCAAGAAGTTCTGCAGAGACCGAAACAAATTATAATCTGACGGTGCCAGGTCCGGGCTATATGGTGGATGCATTGAAACCTTCCAGCCAAGTTCTTTCAATTTTTAACGGGTCGTTAAAGATGTATGCGGATTGACGTTGTCAGCGTGGTATACGATACCCTTTCTGTTGAATTGCTAGGTGCAATTGCGCTAATTGTTGACAGTACAGGTCCGAGTCTATCGTTCTGCCTGGCGACAGCAGCTTGTGATGCACGATGCCCTTTCAATCCCACCAAACACACAGCATACCTTCCTGGACATCAGTGTAGGCTTTGCCACAGATTTCTCCTCGCTTCGACCACGATCTTTTTCACACATTGTTGTCGTAGATTATCCACTTTTCATCACTCGTGATCAACCGCTTCAGAAATTCGATTTCGATACGTTTCAGTAGAGATTCGCAGATAAAAATTCGATCGAGTAAATTTTTTTGCGTCAGATCATGTGGCATCCAAACATCGAGCTTCTTTTTGTAGCCAGCTTTCTCCAAATGGTTTAACAGTGTTTGGTGATGGATGTTTAGGTCATTGGCGATATTATGACTTCTTACATGCCGGTTTTGCTCGACTTTTGCCAGAATATCATCCACTTTTTCTGTGATTGGTCGCCCACTGCGAGGAGCATCTTGGACATCGAAATTTCCAGAACGAAAGCGACTGAAACATCTTTTGGCTGTTGCTTTTATAACATATATTGCCCATAAACAGCACAAATTTCTTCACGGGCCTACGCAGCATTTGCGCCTTTATCGAAATAAAATTGTAAAATGTAGCGCAATTTTGCGGAAAGTTCATTCATCTTCATGGTGCAATACCTTATGTCTGATTATAAGAATTCCAACACTTTTTGTACGTCTACTAGCTTCAACTGTCAGCTGTCAAATAACGTTAGGCCTGACCTGCTGCGACTGATATACCCTGAGATTTGGGACACTAACGCTATCTCGTGCGTAAAAGGCTCAATACTTTTTAGACAACCATATATATATATACACACACACACACACACACACACACACACACACACACACATACACACACATATAAACCTGCACAGTTGCATAATGAAATGCATAATGAGTTGCATAATAAATACAAAGGATAATTTTTTATTGTCTAAACCATAATGGGTTAACTTCCTCTGCATATGCATTAAACGATTATGCAGATTTGTGTGGATTGATTTTATACTCATAGAAATCATATCGTATTGTCGTATGCACAGATTTGTTCAATAAAGTTAACCGAACAAGACCGATGAATCTATTATAATTTTCACCTTGGTGTCACTTAAAGTCACTTATACATTTATATAAGATAGATAAGCGGGAACAAGATGGTAATATAGTATCTTCAGCTCTTAAACAAATATTTAATTTTACGAAGCAGATTTTAGAGATAATACCATAATATTGCTCAAATTTATCATGGAGTTCTTAGTATATATATTTTAAAGTTTCACATGCAACCAACTTTTTTTAGTATGATTCGAATCACTTCCTTTCTTTTCAAGCAGATATGCCGGTGCTTACGAACGTCAACCTATCGTTCCGAACTATCCGTCGACTGGTATCACATCGGTAGGTCAGGAATATGCAGCATCAGCGAACGCACATACCTACGATAGCTCGCATATCGACTCGTTCTTCTCCGATATGGAGGGCGCTGCTAGGAGTGAGCTGCAAAATACCTTGAAAGATACTAGGAACAAATATTACGCCTCTCGTTCGATTGAGAAAGATCTTAGTCTGAGAAATCAACAAGCTCTCAATAATGCTGTGGAAAAGAATAGGGATTCCTTGGCGAAGGACAATGAACTACCCAAGGACGCTTCACCAGCCGCATACGGTCATATTCCCGCTGTTGTTACGGCCGCTACTGCGACTAATGCCGCCGCCGTCACCGGTATGCAAGGTGCTGTAGTATTGCCGGCTGGTATACCACCAGCTACTATCGCAGGTAATAAGGATGGTATCGTATTAAGGGATACTGTATCCCTGGACGAATATCATAGAAAATTAGAAGAACTCACCAAGACCTGGCCGAGTGTGTTATCCAATGGTGTAAGACCCAACAGTTATTCTAGCGTTCATCAGTCGTTACATGCTGTCGATAGTTTTCCATCAACCGGTCTATCGGTTGACGGTACCGGTTATGGCAGTACAGGCACTGGTTGGATGTCCAACTTCGCTCAGTCTAAACAAGGCTACGACGTACGAGAGGACCATGCAGAGTCCACGAGCCATGATTTCAGAACAATGCCTATTCACAACACACCGTACCATCTATTGCCGCCGCTCTCTATGAATGTGGGTATATCAGCCGGAGTCGTGCCACACCAAGGATAGTTACGGCCGTATACAGGCCGTGCCATCCGGACTTCGATTAATTTTGGATATAATTTTGGCGAGTTCAGTTTTTCGTTACTTCCTAGAACTATGTTCCAATATTCACTGCCAATATTAAAAATGTATAGCATATTCAACATAAAATATAGATTTTCAGTATTGATGGTCAGTATAGGAATACAGTCTAAATATACACACAGTATAAATGTATATTACATATTCAATATATTACACGAAACTGAATATAGAGGCCGCGACATTTGGCCTTAAATATTGAAATTCGAACTACGGCGAAATTACGTCAAACGTACAGCAGAATTTCAATCAACAATATATGCGACTACCACGGTGCAATGATAATATGTTCTATATGTGTGTGTGTATGTGCACGCGCGCTTACGTGTGCACGATATGTGATTTTACAATCTTGCTTTTGATTTAAATCTCGTCTACGATCCCTTCGTTTTTTTTATTTTGACATCCTTATATCGTTATAGCGATAACGCTCTCTCGTTTGAGAAAATATTATTGGATTGACGACGATAACAAAGTCCGATTTTTACGATGATCATTTAATACGAGAGAATAGTCTAGAAATTACGCAAAGAGAATTTCTTAATATTTCATGAATCTTATATTTCCTCTTTGGTTCTGAATAGGGAGTTAAAGCGTGATTGCACGTTTGTAAGATATATAAATTTCGAGCAAATTTTAATCTCGATTAGCTTGTCTGAGTTTTCTTCATATATCTAGGTTAAAACACTTTAATATTACTTAAGAAATTTGACACGGTGATGCCTGCACAAATACCCCAATAGTTTTCGAAATTTAGATGTCTCCTATTAATTTTATATTGCGACGTTTTACAGCTTTATTTCCCCGAGTTATTCTCCATAGAATTATTCTTCGCAGAACAATTAAATATTTTACAATTATCGAATATGAGAAGAAATCGGGACGATTATTCTTCAGACGATAAAAATATCAACTGCAACTAATAATATTCAATATTGCATAATAATAATGTTAAAATGTTCATTATATAGGATGTATCTGAACTTCACCGACATAACGATTCATTATATAGGATGTATCTGAACTTCACCGACATAAACTCACAGAATAGATTTTACATAAAAGATAAGTAAAAATGTTTTAATAGTAAATATATATGCCTTCAAATGTTTAGTTTTTGAGATGAGTTTCTGAAAAACTTTCTGAGATGTAGCCGCCACAATCTCAATTAAAATATATTTTTTATTTATTAAATCATGTTTCACATATAAGTAATTTTAGAGATATTGTTATGGAAATTATTTAAAATTTGTATCATATATATCTACAAGATGCTCGAAAGTATAGAAGATATCCATTATATCAAGAGAAAATATGTCTTTTTTTTCACTTGCGTAAAACGATAACAATATAGTAATATCACAATAAATTATTCTTCGGTTAATATTCAGAAATTATCAAAATTGGAAGGTATTATCTTCAGAATAAATAAACAGTGTTGGCATTGGAAATTTCAATTCAAAGTATTCATAATCCACTTATTGCGACATATTTTCTTTAACTGGTTCCGTGCTGAGCTGTTTTTGCGCGACTTTTATTCAAACCATTTAATATTTTGCGTAAAGGTAGATATGTTATAATAAAATATTTTATTATATTCATTGATATATTCATTAATTTATTGATCGATAAGCAACTAGCTTATATAGAATAATTACCATATTGTGTATTATCGGTGTATTATCGGTGATACATGCGGCCTGAGCGAAAAATTTAATATGTGTCATCGGTATACAGGGTGTCTTAGAACTTTGGGACACGGGCTCCGTAGGGATATAGAATTAAGTGAGAGGAACAAAAAAGTCCTGTGCCATAATGTGAAAATCGTAATAGTTTTTTAATTATAACAGCGCAAAGTTAGGCGTTTTCCACGCCCAGCGCGGCCTATAGATGCTCCGCGGCAAGCTGTGTGCGTAAGGGCTGAGCAATAACGCGGCTCGCGCTGACTGTCGCGCGGCGTCAAAGCGCTAAGACGCCATCGCGACAGTCAGCGCGAGATGCCTTATCGGTCAACCCCTACGCACACAGCTTGCCGCGCAGCGTCTATAAGCCGTGATGGGCGTGGAAAATGCCTAACTTTACGCGGTTATTACTAAAAAGCTGTTACGATTTTCACATTATGGTACAAGACTTTTTGTTCTTCTCACTTAGCTCTATGTCTCTACGGAACCCGTGTCCCAAAGTTCTGAGACACCCTGTATACACAGCACAAAACGTGTTAATTGTCATCTTTCCAAAGCTATATTTGGAAAACCAAACTTTTGTGGATATATGTTTACTAAAACTTTCTTACTTATTTTTTCTTAACAGAATCTGTCCTGTAAGTTTATCCTGTAAGAATTCAGATACACTTTGTACATGAAATATTATGTTAGTGTCATTTGATTAGTTTCCTATGAACATCTTATATACACATATGTGTATGTTGTGTTATGTTTTATTGTGTGTATAATATGTGTGGCGCATGTGTGTGTATATAAAGTTTATAAAATATCTTGTTACAGTTTCGAATATTTAAAATTCATGTATATAATAACACACTGATGTTATTTTCACAAAACAATAGTATATATATATAAATAATATCGGTATTTTTTAGGTTTATACAACACAGACTCATTATTACTATTATTACTATCATAAAAATGATATATTGCATATAAATTTGAGAAAAATGCATTTCTCTAAACATATCGAAATTTAGGCAAAGTTATTAAATTCATTGATGTAACAACAGTTAAATGATTTGCTGATTGTTGACTTTATAATCATACCGATTATTTCTGTAAACAAAATAATATCTGTTTTAAGTTATTTTCTGTGTATATTTATTTTGTTTCGTTAGTATGTAAAAGACGAGGAATGTTTATTCTGATATTTTGTTGTAATATATAACATATGTATTATTTAATTATTAAATAGACAACATATCCGAATATATTTGACATATATAAACAATGTATACACATGCGATGTAAACGCTGCTATGCATAGAACAATAATAATTTTCCCAAAATCTCAACATCGCGCATCTTCTAGTATAACTTAATTTATACCAAAAAATTTATACCAAATTTAATATGTAATTTATACTAAAAAATGAACTAATCAAGTGATTATTTATTTGCAAAGTGAGTTGGAAGGAAAAGAAAAAGAATTATTTGGAAGATGATAGTTTACAGGTCATTGTGAAAAAAAAGTTTATATGAACACGGTTATTATTCTCATCAATTCTAGTAATAGGCTGTATATATTTTGTAGAAGTATATACAACAATAATGAATTATACATGTATTACGTTCACAAAAAATGCTCAAAAATTGAACCATAAATTTCAATATACTTTATAACTCGTATCTTAAGATGGCGTATTGTTTCTTTGAGTGCAACTCGTCGTCCTTTCATACGTGTAACAATGTTTTCCCTGATAGCACACGATCTCTTAGAAATGTCTTGAGGATATTCCTGAGAATATTGAGACGTTCTCAGAACATCTTTAGGACGCTTCCTGGATACTTGTGCTGTTAGATTTGATGAATAGTAACAACATCGAAATACTGCTACTTGTATAAAAGAACGATGAACTGCAGTCAGAGAAATAACACGAAGATATTTTAGGACATGAGTTATAAAGTGTATTACGATTCAATTTTTGAGCATTTGTTGAACGTTATATATTGGGTGAGTGCAAAAGTTCGTGCGGAGTTTGTGAGTAAAAGTCACACAGTGATTAGGAAAACAAAAATCTTTATTCAATCAATGATATATTCTCCATCGTTTTCTATAATCTTTTCCCAACGTTCTGGCAGCATACGGATGCCTCGATCATAAAAACTGCGCGGTTTAGATTCGAAGAACGAAGAGATGCCGTTTTTTAAGGCCTCCAAAGAGTCAAAGTTTTTTCCATTTAAATAATTTTACAATGACCGGAACAAGTGATAGTCAGATGGTGCGATATCAGGAGAATACGGTGGATGCGTTAAGACATCCCATTTCAGGCTCTTCAGTTTGCGCAGCGTCTTTTTCGAAACGTGTGGTCTGGCGTTGTCGTGATGAAAGACGACTCCCTTGCGATTTGACAAAATCGGACGTTTCTCTTTTATTTCTCGATTCAGATTGGTTAATTGGCGACAGTACTTGTCCGAATCAATCGTTTCGCCAGCGGGGAGAAGCTCGAAATAGATTATGCCCTTGCAATCCCACCAAACAGAGAGCATCACCTTCATCGGGTGCAAACTGGCCTTTGGCATTGCGTCACCATGCTCACCTGATTGTTTCCATGTCCGTTTGCGCTGAACATTGTTGTAGAGGACCCATTTCTCATCGCCCGTTACTAGTCGATCCAAAAACGACTCGTTATTGAGCCGCCCGAGTAAAGAAACGGCTGCAGAAATTCGCTTGATTTTGTTCTTCTCGGTCAGCAAATGGGGCACCCATATATCGAGCTTCAAATCGAATCCCATCTTTTTTAAACGCCGAAAAGCGGTTGATCGGTCAACGTTTAGTGCTGTAGCAACTTCTTCTGTTGAAATTCGCGGATTATTGAGCACTAAAGTACGCAAAACATCGTCATCAATGTCAGAAGGTCGACCAGAGCGTGGCTCGTCTTCAAGGTTAAATTCTCCGCGCCGAAATTTAGCAAACCATTTTTCCACAGTTCGTTTAGCTGGTGCTTCATCCTGATAAACATCCTGAATGTTTTTTACGGCTGCGGCAACGTTTATTCCCTTCCGAAACTCGTAAAGCATAACATGCCGTAAATGCACCTTATCGATACTCATTTTTAAAGTGATATTTCTCGAAGCAGTTTGTATGAAAACAAATGATTTTTTTTTTAATAACAGCTGAAGACGTCACCTTTCCAACGTATAATATTATATAATATGTAGATGGAAGTATTAATGACAACACTTTACGACGCTTATAACTCCATCTATTGAAACTCCGCACGAACTTTTGCACTCACCCAATATATATAATTCATTATAATTGTATGTACTTCTACAAAATTTAAACAATTGTATGTGTGTATATGTGTGCGTGCGTGCATACGTGAATGTTATATGTGTATGCGCGTGCATGCGTGTGTACATGTGTGTGTGTGTGTGTAACATTAGTCCATTTTAACACTTTGACGTCCGCACGTGTGACCAAAATTCTTTTTTGGCCGGTCTGGCGCCGGTAGGTCTCATATAAATCCTACCGCTTGTCGCCGGCGTTTTTCGAGAAATCTTGTTTTACTAATTTCGATATCTAATATCAATATCTCAATATCTCGGCATTTGTTCGATAGCACACCAACGTAGTCACCGGCATTTGTGCGAAAATTTTCACATGACACCAACGTGGTATCATTGGATGGCATAGTGTTAACAATATGTATGTATGTTTCTAATTCTCTGTAAAATATATTAATCAATTACAATTATAATCAATTACAAATACGAATGGTAATTGCAGATTTTTGTGATAGCACACATGTTTATGTCAGCAAATTGTGATGGCAAGAATTTACACATTGGTAAGTATCGTTAAAACACTTCATAAAGATTCTAATATAAAGCATGCGCAGATAATAAAATAATTCGAAGAAAACACATTTTCATGGTCGAGTAGTTATGGAGTTGGTTGCAAGATAAAAATCGTAAATTATTTAATAATACTGAATAACGCTGAGAGATCACGGTCATCGCCAAAGATCGCACCCTCTCGTTCCGGTTACTTTCACTGGAAGACCGATGACCGGTTGAACGGTTGAAAGTCGAGAAAGCTGTTCTCTGCAATGAGACACGAACGCGTCTTGTCCATCTCGAGCACGCTATATACAGTAGCGTGCAAAAATTTTGAGCCATACAATTATTATTATATATTCATTTCATAATGAGCACTAAAAACTTTACACATATATACAAACAAAATGTATTTATTTACCCTACAATTATATAAACTTTACAAACTCTTAATAATTCTAAATACTTTATTTTTATA